TATGTTTTTCTCCAATTTCTGTCTAGGCAGCTATTTCTATAGAATATGTAGATTTGGCATAGTACATCTCAGTGAGCATTTAGGAGGATAATTAATTTCCACACGTGGACGATGCGGCGCGTTTTTTTAATACCTACTGTAATCTTTAATAGGCCTAGTGCTCAAATGATTGATAGGCAATTTCTGATAAGCGATTTCGTCTTGAGCAACCATCGATATGTCATAGCCGTTTTTTAAACGAAAATGCTAATTCGGGCAAAAAATGCCAATTTCCACACTCCCGGAAAACTACTAGCACGTAGGTAGGTATGTTTAAATTGTGCTTGGACAGTTATTACTTTTGTTTTTTTTTTGTTTTTCAACGACCTCAGAGTCTCCACTATTACAGTTTTGTCGATAATAATACCGGTGTCAAAGTCAGTTTTTCGGTATTTCACATCTAGGTACGTATTTATATCAATCGAGTATTATCTCTAGATTTACTTATTATTAATGGCATAAAGACAATATACAAGTATCCTTTTTTTTTAAGGGGGGAAAATCATCGAATGACTGCTCCCGCCTGGGTGAGGCGGAAGGGAGTGTCAGACTCTTACTGACTAAAAACCACCCCGTTCCTTCTCCTGCGTCGAGCCGTAGCTCCGGTTACCCGTTAGGTTCTCCGCGACTACGAATCGGCATCAGTCCTATTGGACCCCATCTGTGGTGGTCTGATGGCTCTTTGAGGCGAGCGCGGAACGCGACGCGCCGTACGCTCGGGTTTGTTTCTGGTCGGACGTGGAGCCACCCATGCTCGCCGTCCGCAGGCCCGCGCTTACGGTGGCCGGAGATCGTCCTGCGATCCCCGACGCCCGGTGTGTCCTTCGCGATGGCTGGGTTGCGAGGAGGCAGCGCTTCGCTGCCTCACGCGTCCCGCCTCCTCCTTAGCTAGCATGACTGCTTCGCAAAAGGCGGAGACGGCATCCCAGTCCCTCTCGCTCCGCATCATTGCCCTCACTAGGCCCGGACGCGAGAGGTCGCCATCGCCGATCACTTCCCCGAGGGCACGGCGGTGCTCAGCCCACGCAGGGCATTCCGCTACAGTATGTTCCACCGTGTCCTCGGGGCGGTCTTCGCAGTGATGACACTCGGGCGTTTCCTCCCGCCCCATCAGACAAAGGTACCTCCCGAAACTTCCATGCCCGGTGAGGACGCCGTAGCGGCTCTCAAGCCACTCCTCAAAGAGGGGACTTACCGCTGCGATGGCAGCGAGCCCAGCCCTCGGTTGCGGCAGTCGTTGCTGCCATTCCGCCATGAGATTGCGCCGGAGCTCATCCCGCCACGCACTTATCTGGCGCGCGGCAGCGGAGTTTCGCCCCTGCGACGTGCTTCCGCGCGCGTGTATTAACGCGCGCGAGCACCTTCGCCTCCAGGTAATCCATCCCACGGCGGTAATCCGGCAAGGAGGTTCGCCGACTCCCCAGAGATCGGGCGGTATCCGCGGATCATTCGGATCGCCATGACCCTCTGTGCCATAAGCAGCGTCCAATACAGGTGTCCTTGACTTGACAAAATCTTAAGAAGCAGGGGCTGTCAGCACCTATCACTGATCTAATATATGATGATATAATATGACTATATATACTATTTACTATTATGTAATATATATGTATAACTATATTATTTAATAATTACCATTATTTTTTCCTCTCTCTCTCTCTCTCTCTCTCTCTCTCTCTCTTTGTTGTTAGTTTATTCTCCGTACCTCAGTTTTCGCAGATTTTCTACTTAAACCCTAAGGTTGACTGGTAGAGAATGCCATATGGCATTAAGTTCACCTTATGTACCATAAACAAATTATGTACATTAAAGAATAAATAAATAAAATCTAATAAGAGGTTTAGATATGAAATACCTACGAGAAAAAAAAAGTACCTAAGTACACATTTCACTTTTTTTGTATGGCGGATTGAACTAGGGATGTGAGTTTTAAAACAGTAGAAGTTGCGATATTTTGGTATTGGTTATATCAAAGTTCATTATTTTATTTATTTATTTATTTATTTATTTATCATTTCATGTACCCACACCATACAGACAATATTATAAGACACAACACATTATAGGTAAGCATGAGGTACATAGGTACTGCATATCCCTTAAGGGATTTCTTCCTGCAGACCTGCGACAGGAAAAGGAATAAACATAAGACATAAGACACAGTGTAAATACATGCAACGAATACAAAACAAAATAAAATTAATGAAAGAACTTAAAACTAGAATGACCGTAGTATAAGAATAAAATATAAACTTAAGCAAATTATAACAAACATAATAAATAAAATAATTAGAAATATTTAAATATGATTACATAAAAATATATATATATGTATATTGTATGTATACATAGATAAATATATACATAAATAAAGCTGTACTTCAGGACGAAAGATAATAATCCCTGACAAGTCGTTTGAAAATGGAGATGGATTTGGCGTCGCGAATGCTAGGCGGCAGCGAATTCCACAGTCTCACCGCATGAACCGTGAAGGAGTAGGAATAGAAATCGGTTTTATGTTGAACGATTTCAAGAAGAGACTTAAGGTGGGATCTAGATAGGGCTTCAGGAGGACGAGCCAAGGAAAAGCGGTCACGGAGATATATAGGATAGGCAGGGTTGTTAAGGACATTATAAAGGAGACATAAAATGCGAGTGTTCCGGCGAAGTCGGATTGGGAGCCACTTGAGCTTACTGCGATATACTGAGACATGATCGTACTTCTTAAGATCGAAGACAAAGCGAATACAAACGTTTTGCAGCCGCTCAAGCTTGTTTAGTAGCTCCTCAGTGACGTCCAAATAGCAAGCATCTGCGTAGTCGAGTAAAGGCTGAATTAAGGATTGTACGAGGAGAATTTTAGTTTTGAATGGCAAGAAGGACCGGAGACGCTTCAGCGAGTGAAAGGAGAAATGGACTCTTCGACTGACCTCATTTACCTGTGCACCCCATAGAAGATTGGAGTCGAAGATTACCCCCAAATTCTTGGCAGTGTCAGTGAAAGGGATCACTGTGCCATTTAGGCGCACGGGCTCAAGAGTAGAGATGTCCAGAGCGCTGCGGAAGTATCGACTACCGATGATTATGGCCTGAGACTTAAGAGGATTGACTTGGAGACCAAAGGACTTGGCCCACTTATCAATCCCGTCCAAGTCGCGGTTTACAGCATCGATAGCGCGACCAACTTCTGATAGTTTGAAGTGGCGGTAAAGCTGCAGGTCGTCTGCGTAGAGGTGAAAATTAGAGGAGATTACCTTGGCAACGGTATTTATAAACATGGAGAACAGAACAGGAGAAAGGAGTTTTACTATACATCTAGATTTTTATCTAAATACTAAATTACCAAAATATTAGCGAAATCTATTAAGCATGATTGACAAACTTTTTTTGAATAGACAGTTAAGCAAGCATACGGATCACCTAACGGCGCTGCCCATATGGACATCCGCAACACCTGATGAGCTACAAGTACGTTGGCGGATTTTTTGAGGTGGATTAATAGATTGGAAATTTGGGTATTGGGGAGGACTGGAACCCGGCAACGTGGCGAAACACAACGCAAGCGTTGTGTAACATCGGTTTTCTTCACAGACTGATACCGTGTATGTGAAACATATGTCATTGTGTACCTCATACCGTAATATATGGAAAGAAGTTTTCTATCAACTGGTCAACATTTATGTAAGGTTTATAAAATGTAGGTAAATAAAACGTTTCAAAGTACCTAATCATAAAATAAATATTTATAACTAGCTTTTACCCGCGGCTTCGCTCGCGTCACAAAAGGATAAAAAGTAGTCTATGTGACATATACCAATACATACAGCGCCATCTATACCAATACTTTTGTTTTCCCTCGGGAATATCAAATTTTTTCGGGATAAAATGTATGTACCCTATTATTTAATCCAGACTACTAACTTTACGTCTGCAAAACTTCAATGCAATCGGTTTAGTAGTTACGGCATGAAGTCGGAACAAACAAACAAACTAACAAACTCACTTTCCGATTTATAATATTAGTAAGGATGCTGTTAACCTCTTTGGATACCTTAAAGAAAATATCATGACAACAAAAAAAAAATTCTCTTTGTAAACAACTTGTCAAAAAATGTCCGATGACGTAAAAATCTATACCTACCTCGGAATACCTACTATTATTGTAAACATGTTGATGACAGATGACATATAAATCTATACTAATATTATAAACATATTGTGTATGTTTGTTTGTCCATCTTTTACGGCCAAACGAAACAGGAATTGATGTGTTTTTTTAAAGTGGAGATAGTTGAAAGAATGGATGGATGAAACTTGACTGCTCCATTGGCCAAGTGATCGCAAGTGCGACTGCCGGGCGAGGGGTCTCGGGTTCGATTCCCGGAACGGGTAAAGTATTACTGGGTTCGTAAAAACCTCAGTAGTAGCACGGAGTCTGGAAATGTGCCCGGTATATGGCAATAGGCTCACCCCCTATTACATGGGACTCATAACATAAATATGTAGTGAGAAGTGGGTGTTACATTGTACAGTGGCATTAAGTGCCTTAATGTGCACCTCTGGCTACCCTTTCGGGGATAAAAGGCGTGATGTTATGTTATGTGGATGGACGAAACAATAACGTAAAAAGTAAACTTTTTATCTCTTTTTAATCCTCCATTTTGGGAAAATGGAGGGTGGAAGTTTGTATGGAGCATTTCGTAATTTTCAAGGTATAAATTGATATGCAAACTATTTAATAATGACGCATATTGTATTTGTAAACTTGCTTTTATTACTCAGTTGTAAAAGTTCTATCAGTCATCAACGTCCTTGTCAATCAGTATGATTTAATCCAAAATAGAGTTTAATCCTACCCTCCAATCTGGAACACGCCTAAAACAAGAAAATATTAAATCAGAAATACTTTAATTGATCAAAATGCAAAATCAAAATCAAAATAGGGTCGATCAATCAAAATCTTACAATTTTTTTATATTTTCTAGACTATTTGTGTTTATTTTTATTTCAACTTCTTTACTATTAAATCTGTCACACCATTGCTTTGTTGCTTTTTGGAAGTGCCTTATTGTTTCGTTGTCTGTGACTTTATGATCTTTAGACATTACGCCTTCTCCGTCTTCCTTCATGTTTTTCATGTCTTCGCTATAACATTTCCTTATGAAGCTGAAAGAAGTAAATTAGAGTAATAAATTTATTTGTTTGTGCAACTTCAAAATTATTAATTTCGTGTTCTATTACCCACCGTATTTTATCTTGACTTGCAGAATGCACAACCGAATCTCGTTTATCTGAAATATTGGTTATTAAAAATCAAGAATATTTATTTATAAGTCTTACTAGTAATTTCTGACAAGAAGTAGGTATATTTATTCTTATTATTCTTAGGGCTTTATCATATTAGCGAGTTGCGGGCGTTTTGAAAGCGAAATGGCTACGTAAGGAATATGTTACAGACACGAAAACGAATGATACGGTATATAATTATGTACTTACTGTTATAACTACTGTCCTTAGCACTTTTCCTTCTATTAGTCTTAGTTTTATCAGTTTCATTTACTTCGTGTACCGGCTGTTCCTAAAAGATACAAAGTAACACTATTGATATCCACGTTTACTAAATATTTGCAGTCTCACTACATATTATAAAACAAAGTCGCTATCCGCCGTCTGTCTGTCCCTATGTATGTTTAGATCTTTAAAACTACGCAATGGAGTTTGATGGGGGTTTTTAATAGAGTGATTCTTAAGGAAGGTTTATATGTATAATACATGCATATTGCACCCGTTTGAAGCCGGGGCGGGACACTAGTTTTATCTTATATTACCTTTGCTACTGATTTGATTATTCTTCTGTTGGAACGCCATTGGTCAATAGCATTTTGTTGTTGCTTCTTAAGATAAATATACTTTAAATACCATTGAATGTGGTAAATAACATCATGTTCATGAATTCCTAAAACAATAAAAATGCAACAATTAAATGTTTAGAAGATTTCTTACTATTTTCAAAGCGATCATACAGTACCTTGCAACTTTGGTAAAAGTTCACTTAAGAATGTATCATATCCTGGATAATGTTGTATATCATGGATGTGTTCATCATGGGAGCCATCAATTAGGGCCCCTAAGTGTTTTTGCCAGTGGTTTACGAATATGTTATGGTGATATTCGTTCCATCCTCCATATCGATTCGCACTATTCATCATAAATTCTTGGAATTGTTGAACTTCCTGGAATCAAAATAGAATTTCTTGTAACTAAAAATATTCATGCTATAAAAGTTCAAAATAAACTTAAATCGGTTATGAACATATCTTACCACACACTTAAATGGTGACGCTATTATAGTTTTTACAGGACTAGGCACAATCTCGTTGTATTTCGCAGTTTGAATTCTAACATTCTTTTTGAACTTATTCACTGAAACCAGATCTTCTTTCACCTTAAAGAATAACAAAGTTAATAGATTTTTTATACACAAAATATTCACAATATTATACAAACAATATATTTCATTTTTTAAGCGGCATAAGCCGGTAATCGAGCAGACGGATCACCTGTTGGTAAGCAATCGGCGTCGCCCATGGACACCTGGAACACCAAAGGCGTTACAAGTGCGCTGTACTGGCCTTTTGGGGATTATGAATTTGAAGGTCGTTGCGAATTCAGGGATTGAGGAAGGGAGGGGGGGGGGGTAATTGGGCCTCCGGTAACCTCACTCTCACGACGAAGCAACGCAAGCGTTGCTTCACGTCGGTTTTCAGTGAGGCCGTGGTATCACTCCAGTCGAGCCGGCCCATTCGTGCCGAAGCATGGATCTTTCATACTTAAATCAATTTTTACACACAATTTCATTAATAAATAAATACCAAATGTATAAGGACTAAGTACTTACAGTTTGATTCAATTCTGCTTCAGCGGCTTTAAGGCCGGTTAATTCAGATTGTAAATAAGATTTAAATGTTCTGATACGGTTTTCCAATTCAAGAGTAGATTTTTTAACATCATCGATATCTGGAAATAATGAATAAGCAACAAGTTACCACAACCGATCTCTGTTTATGCAACATTTAAGTACGAAAAATGTTCATTAATTTATGTATATTATTTATAGGTATAATAAGAAAATAGCACACGGTATACTAACCAAGAGTTTGTAACAATTCTTTCGAAGAAGTGCCTGTTTGTATATCTTGAAACAACAACTTTATTTCCCGGTATTTATTTTTAATTTTGTCAACAAAATGTTTGAATTCGTTTGGGGACGATGAGTATAACGTATCATTTCCTTGTGACGCTTGTGAATTTTCACTAATACATTTTGTTATACTTTGAAGAAGTAGACTCTCTTCTATTTGCAATCTCTTTATTTTAGCAGACACGCTAGAAGTATTTAATACATCAGATACACTATGACTGGATTTTGTAGATGTCAAATCCATAATACTTCTTTCTTCCAATTATCACATTTATTAAAACACTTTGGAATATACATATAATTACCACCGTCCTGTATGTACTCAATGTAAAATTATATTGATCAAACTTTCAATCATTTCAAATTACCCGCTTGACAACAAATCACAGATTATATATGAAAGTTAATATGAATAATTGCCATTAAAAAATTATAAAATCGACTAAAACATTACATTACAGATAACATCCTTATAATTAGAAAAAAATAAATGACATTTCGACATTCTCTGTGATTCTCTGATTCTGACTGAAGACGAAATTCTGGCGAAAAAAGGAATTTTATGGAATGGAAAGTGAAATTACAGGGGAATATTCTTCAAGCATATAAAAATGTTCACTCGATCCAGATTGTTTTTCTCCAGGACCATCCAATTACGCGTCGGTTTTGTTTATCAAACATTTATTTACATAATAATTTCCAGTTGGAATATACATACTTAACCTTAATATTGACCGTTTTCAGAATGTTTTTAACGTGGATTACCTAAACAATACATATAATAAACCCCGGTTTTTATACAGCATAACGACTACAAGAAGTCGGTCTACTACTCCGCTGAATACTATTGTCATGTTCGTTCCACAACAAGAGGTAAGTTGAATTTTGTGGCATATCTTCCTATGAGAAATGTTTCAAGCTTAATCAATTACATAGCAAGATATGTACCTAATTTTACAGTAAAGAAACACAGTAAACTTGCATACTTTGTACGAAATCATGTTTAAAATTTCATCATAATTATTATATTTTTATCAAAAAATTTTCAAGTACCCTGTTTCTAAAATATGTTATGTTTTTAGGCATGGATTGTGGAGCGTATGGGTAAATTTCACAGGATTCTTGAACCAGGACTGAATCTGTTGTGGCCAATAGTAGATAAGATAAAGTATGTGCAGAGCTTGAAAGAAATTGCTATTGATGTTCCGAAACAGAGTGCCATCACATCGGACAATGTTACATTGAGCATTGATGGAGTGCTCTATCTTCGTATCATTGATCCTTATTTAGGTAAAGTATAATGTACTTTATACAATAAATATTTTCCTATTTCCTGAATGTGAATCGTCAAACAACTCTATCATTTTTATTTAAAACACTATTTTGATATTTTTTAAATACATACATTTTAAATCATATTATTTATATTCTAGCCTCATATGGAGTTGAAGATCCTGAGTTTGCTATCACACAGCTGGCTCAAACTACTATGCGTTCCGAACTTGGTCAGATTTCACTGGACAAGGTATTCAGGGAGAGAGAATCTCTGAATGTTGCCATTGTTGATGCCATCAATAAAGCTAGTGAGGCTTGGGGCATCACTTGTCTGCGATATGAAATTCGTAAGTTTTAATACTTATAAATTAAACAGTTATAGAATATGTGTCAGTTTTAGATATTATATTAATTATTTATTATTTTTTTATAATGACTATCGTAAGACATACTAAATTAACTAAAATTGCGCGTTACTCACGTGAATATTTTGAGAAAAGCTCTACTAGTTTCAAACCACAGAGGGTTTCTTCCTCATGAGCGAGTGAGCTGCGCGATGTCGCTGCGACCGCACACGCTGCCGAGGAAGAACCCCTCTGTGATTCGAAACTAGTAGAGCTTTTCTCATTTATTTATTATTGTTATTAATGGATTCAAGTATTGGTTATTACTTGATTAAATCCTTATTAGAGTAAAATAGTATCAACATATTTTCACTAACCTCTGACCTACAGTCTAAAAGTGATAATATTTATGTGTAATCATAGTCACACATTATTCTATTTTATAGGTGATATCAAACTGCCGACTCGTGTGCACGAGGCTATGCAGATGCAAGTGGAAGCTGAGCGGCGGAAAAGAGCAGCCATCTTGGAGTCTGAGGGAGTGCGCGCCGCTGATATCAACGTCGCCGAGGGCAAGCGGCAGGCTAGAATATTGGCATCAGGTAGAACTTCCCTGTAACTTGACTGACTACCTGTTACATGCAGTATTACTAATAAATTTTGTCATAAAAAATCTATATTATTATGTGTGAGATGAGTCAGATTAGGTTGATTGAATCCTTATTGAGTGTATTTGTTCGTATGTCTTTCTTATGCACTGCAATTCTTAGGAAGGCTGTAGAGAGTCAATAATAAAATTTTCGGTTGTATATTTCCAGAGGCTGAAAAACAAGAACAGATAAACAAGGCGTCTGGTGAGGCACAGGCTATGCTTGCCGTTGCTGAAGCTCGTGCTAGGGGACTGAAGCTTATTGGAGGTGCTCTAGCTCAACAGGTCTGTAATTTTACATAATTATTATACATAGATTTTTTTTTATTTAATTATTCATTACCATTACACTTATTATGCAAATGACATGAGAAATCTTACTTGACATGTACTGTACACTGTACATATAGCAATTATTTATTGTTACTGATTAAAACTTATTTTCACAGGATAGCAAACATGCCGCCTCCTTGACGCTGGCTGAGCAGTATGTATCTGCATTCAACAAACTAGCGAGAACCAATAACACACTCATTCTGCCGGCAAACGCAGGAGACGTGTCCAACTTAGTGGCACAGGTACCTACTAACTTCAAATTAAATGCTTCTCAGATTTAAAATTATTGTTTGTATATCTTTTTTTTTTTCTTTAATCTAAAACACTTACTTTTCCAGGCAATGTCAATATATTCAACAGTGACAGCACACAACACACAAGCCAAAACACATTCTGAAATATCGGAAAATTATGAGGAGCCTCTAGTCAAACTTAATGCTATAACAGAAAAGGGGTCTACATTGGCTGGCCCAGCTATCGCCAATTATGACGACACCTTAGCAGAATACTTCTCAGATGATGAAGAACGGGAAAAGGCATTAAGGGGTCTTAAAGAGAAAAAAGACTTACACTCACAACCACAAAGTAAACTAGATAAACTAGAAAAAGATACATAGAATTGTTATTTAGTGCCAGTCTTCATATAAACCTTTCAAACGCCAGCATACTGTCAAAAAGTTATTCTTTATTGTCTTCCAAAAATATGTTTCATTGTTTTCTTATAAAGTAACATCGGCAAATTGAAATAATAAATATAGTATCTAGTTTTTATGTGTTGAAGTTCTATAAATACAATGCATGTTTTAAAAAAATATAATTTATTTCTTAAGTTTAGATATGTGGTGTTAAAAAGGTTTCAAAAACCTATTTACTCTGCATTTCAAAATGTAGCTGTGGAACTTTGTTGCGTACCTCTGCATTAGGAACTAGTTCTGAAAGAAAACTAAAACAATTGCAATGAAATGCATTTATTTTAATACATTGTACAGTACAGTCAGTTCCAGGCGTAACAAAATGTTGATGTACAGATATGCAATATTTTTAAAATAAATCATATCTCATTAGTTGGTCATCTTAAGTTATTTATTGTGAAATAACTGGAGAAAATAAAAATAAACTATTAAAAACATAAAAAAATAAATCTTTTCAACTCGTGTTTTGATTTTACATAATTTACACCTTTTATTATCGACTAGCCGCAAATTCGAATTCAGTTTATCATAAGCTACACTATACTACAACAAAGTTATAAAAAAAATACAAAACGTTACTATTCCATTGCTTTTAGCATAACTAAAGTAATAATTATTTTAGTACATTATAAATAACAATCAGTTTACTGTTTTGGAATGTAGTCATAGAAAACTCTCAATAATGCAATCTTGGAATCATTATAAAAATTTGGTTTAATTAGAGAAAAGCCATACAGACCTATAACAGCCTCGTAATACATATAACGGCTGAATATTAATTATAGAAAAACAGTATCATTTATATAAAAAACCTAAAATATTTCGCCCTTCTATCCTAATTTACATAAATATTACACAAATTCCACAATCATAATTATCACACAATTTTTTTTCATTGTCCCTTAAAAATGGACAATGTTTCCATTTCATTATAAAAACCTCCAAATATCATGTATTTAAGAATGAAGAGATACATAAAGTGATTTGATTCAAATCTAAATTTAGATTATTGGTATTTACATATTGGCTATTATATTCAAATAATAGGATTTGAAAGTTGATCAATATAAAAACAAACAAGTAAAACCTGTACCATAAACAGGTGTTCAGCATGCACGTCCTTATGATATCTTCACGACTTTTTCTCTCTGGTTGAAGTAACTGACTGTACCTTCCTCTGGTTGGTTTGTAGATGCCGGCATTTTGTGCAAACTGATATACGACGCCGATAAGTCTGTGCCGTCGAATTGTCGTAAATGAATCTAAAATAAGAACAACATGTTTAATCAATACAAAAAAAGCAAGTTCATGATAATGATAACACTTATTTTTCATTCCATATTTCATATAATATTCCGTATGACTATAAATTTAGACACCACTTGTGTTTACATTTCCACTTTGTACAATATTGTTAGTTAAATGAAATGTAACAATTTTGTCATACTTACTAGTAAATGAAGGTTGACCTCATCACTTCTACTCAAGTAAGGGAAGTTGCCGCCACTTTTTAAATGGGCTAATTTTGCGTGTGGGTATGATTTGTACAGATCCTCACGAACTCTAGAGCTTAAGGCACATTCATCCCAAACATCCATTACTGTGATGGGCAGATGAAGTAAAGCTTGAGGTTTGATGTAACATGGTGTGCAGTTCAGGGTCAATCTTGATGCTAACTCTGACTGGTTTAAAGATTCAAGCTAAAACAAAAAAAAAGTTTTAATAGAACAAGTTTAGTATCATAAATCTAACATTTACATTTCTAAATATTTTAGATAACAGTCTACAAATCTGATCGCTATCTTATTGGAACTGGTTGTTACAAGACTGCAATATTATATTTCAAGATTGTTTGTTGTATAAAGTTACATGATTGCTCAGTGGAGTGTGAGAAATTATTATTGCTTTGGTAGCAAGTTAGTTATTTTTTATGAAGAGCTTATACTTACTCTTTCAACCATGAAGTCAATAGCTTCAGCCATTCTTTTGTCCAATTTGTCAGTTGTGAAGTTTCCCATGAGCATTCTTTTTAATACCAAGGAAGGTAGGAGCCAGAAGAGTGCTGCAGAGTCATGGTACTCAAACACGGATGTGTCAGTGAATGTGTTACAAAGCACAAGGGATGCAACTCGAGGACAGTTGCTTGTTAATTCTGCAAACTTCTGTGCTATAAATCCACCTAAAAATAAACTGTACATTTAGAACCAGTAGCTGCTGCTTTGTAAAACATTCCCAGCCTATTGTTAGATATGTTTATGTATAAAAAAACTTACTGATAACTTATCTACTGTTTGTCATTTTGCTTCTGTATGACCAACTAACTAGGTAATTAAAGTTACTTTATTGACATTAGTACTGATTGGAATTTGTACCTCATATTAATGACTGTGGCCACACTCCACGGTAACTACTTGAAATTTTTATTGACATTCCTAGCTGATATAGTAGAGATACATACCTAAAGATGCTCCAAAAACATGTACTTTGTCAAGTTCTAGGTAGTCGATGAGTCTTTTGAAACCGTCACACCATTCTTTCATGTTCCAATATGGTGGAGGTTCAGCAGCAATGACTCGAACCCCCCTAGCAGCAAGTCCCAAAACTTGTTGGAAAAACACGTCAGCCGTGCCAGACACTGGCGGTAAGCATATCAATGGGCAGCTTACGGATTTTGGACCACTGTCGAAAATTCTCCAAGCCTACGTAAATTGTAAACAAAAGAAAGTTAATTATTATAATAACAAAGTGCAATAAGATAAGTGTCGCACATAAAGTAGGTCAGGTAACTAACACAATTGGACAAAATTTTTCATTCTGAGAGATAATGTTTGATCAAGTTTGTTTACCTTGGATCCATCTGAGTCAACCACAATTTTTCTCAAGGGAATGCTGCTTCTAAAACTAAGATACTCATTTGATTGTGACAATTCACTGACGCAACTCATTTTTATTTTATTAATGATTGCATAAAATAAAAATAAACTTCAGTATACAATACAAAATTATTCAAGAGCCGTTGTCGTAGAACTATTCCAGAATTCGAATTGGTATCTAAACTAAAAGTAAACTAATAATCGCTTATTTCGCTCGCTGCTGGATGAACCTTGTAAATAAAATGACGTATGTGACGTCTTGAGTCTTGACATTCTTGACGTCCCGATCTCAAACGTCACACTGTTGTTGGTTCCGTTTTACGCAGAAATTACATTAATTTTATTGCCTTTGATCACATTTTTATTTCCAAAAAAATTTGTGGACTTATTGGTTTATTTTTATTTACATCAACTTTAAATTCCGGTCCATACTACTCTTCCGAGTCGGGTTATCACGTGGGGAACGGGCTCTGTAGGAACACGGGTGCAATAGTATTTTATGATGTAGTTTCTGCCAACGACTTCACCTTCATCCGCGTTCCCGTGGGATAAGAGGTAGCCTATATGTTTTTCCAGACCGTAATCTACCCCTGTTCAAAATTTCATCCCGATTCCTTCAGTCATTTTTAGAAACATACTCACAAATTCGCTTTATAATACCTACTAGTAAAATTTGGGAAAAGGAGAGGAACTTTCTATTTGATGGGTAATCAGGGGCATCAATCACATAACTGGATTAACTATAATGAAGCAGGTGTACGTGCTCCATACATTCTACGGAAACCCACTAAGAGGTACCTATACCTCCACTTTGACCCTACCTATCCCTTTAATAAAGTATAACGTGAGCCGTGAGTCTTATGTAGGTACTTATACGTTATAGTAAAATAGTAGCTTTGCAAATTAAGTATTCTTCAATTGTATAACAGCTAACATACTTACTATAATAACGATGATTTGATGACGACATATTTTCATGAAACAAAAGATTACCTAATCCAACTGCGTAGACTGGTTGAAATGATGGGTCTACGCAGTTGGAAGTTTATTGTTTAGATATTCATTGTGATCGATCGTTTAAAATACGATGTAATAAACTTTTTTAGTAATGGACTTTTTTAAAATAACTACATCACGTTCTTTGTGATATATCTTTTGTTTCCTGTAGGATTGGGTAAAGGTCAGGTGAGCCACGAGTTCACCTATTGTTGTCAGGTTGTTCATGCTCACTACAGCTGTTTCTAATGAGAACTTCGATATCGAAAACACGAGTCGCCCAAAGTTGCTAGCGTGGTGGTCCTAGGTCTAGGTGGCATTACCCCCTTTTATGCGCCTGGTTTGTGGATGGACTGTGACTGTGACTCTCTAGTGTCTGTTTGGGTTTGGACACCTCTAACATTACTTACAGGTATGTACAGAGGCAAGAACATGCAGTAACTGTTTATATTTATTCTACACTAGCTTTTACCCGCGGCTTCGCTCGAGTCACAAAAGGATAAAAAATAACCTATGTGATATATATCAATATACACAGCGCCATCTATACCAATACTTTTCTTTTACCTCGGGAATATTAATTTTTTCCGGGATAAAAAGTACCCTATTATTTAATCCAGACTTCTAACTTTACGTCTGCAAAAATTCAAAGCAATCGGTTTAGTAGTTACGGCGTGAAGTCGGAACAAACCAACAAACAAACAAGCTCACTTTCCGATTTATAATATAAATATATATATAATATATTCTACATTCATCATCACCAGCCTATAAATGCTCACTGCTGAGCAAAGCCTTTTCTCACACGGAGAAGGTTTGAGCATTAATCACCATGCTTGCTCAATGCGGGTTGGCGATTACAAACTTATAATTAGAAATTATAAGCCCAGGTTTCCTCACGATGTTTTCCTTCACTATTTGTCAGTGGTGTCTAGATAATCTTAGAAAGTACATATAACTTGGAAAAAGTCACATTGGTACTTGCCGTTGGTAGGTTTCGAACCTGTACCCTCGCATGAGAAGCGGGCGTCTTAAACCTCCGGGCCACCACGACATACTATTTTATGTTTATTCTACATTACGCAGTACGTAAAAGTTTCATTGATATAGCAACTTAATTAGGATAGAAATTACGGAACAACTAAAAGAAAAAACAGGTTCTCATCCAAACACATTCTGTTTATTATATACGTAATTAACATTCTCATCGTGAATTTTCCTACGATAAATTTCCAAACCATTTACTCTAACTTAAAACTAACTAATGAATAAGTTTTGGACGATTTTAGCAGGATTTTCGAAATCATTTTATTCTGACTGTGACAAACGATTAGGTAAATAGTTCTAACGCGTTATGCGCGTTCTGAGATAACATTGTTACATAAGTTGCTTTAGGAATTTAGAAGCCAAAGTCGCAGGTAATCTAAGACTTAAAATTACAAATCATACAATTATTACATTACAAATCTATATAAATTTAACTTAGTGCACACTAACCATTAAAATTCATTTATATCTTAATATACATTACAAATAATTTCGTTCGTGAATCACTAAACATTCTTATTAATGTACTGTATCATTCTTTAGTATTATCATAATATGATTTGAGCATACACCAGAATTGTTGAGAGTTCTAAGTATTAGCATCTTTGTACACACAATTTTACAGGGGCAAATCAATGAAGCTAGGGATTAAAACATATAGTACATTTACAACACAAACTGGGTGAATACATAATTATACTGACTTGCGAACTCCTTGGTGTTATATTCCATTTACTATAAAATAGTTACATTATGAGACATTTATAGTACCAGAAATTAAAATGCCAGATATCATTGTTATTACCTTTTAATGATTCTAGTATTAAAATAATAAAACTAAACATCAAGACAAACAAATATTCGGGCAACAATATTTTAAAATCACAGAAGTATTGTTGCTTGTTGCACATAATAATATTAAACAAAAACTAATTGTATAATTGTCTATTTCAGAAAGATTCTATCATTTACATAATGGCCTTGGGTGCCATTGAGATATAATAGAAATAAGAATGACTCATTCACTGTTATTACAATAAAATTAATATTAACTATCCAGTTCAGGCAAGCGGTACGGACAACTGAAAATAATAAATGTTATTAACAAAACAAATGCAATAAATCATCTAATAATATTTATGCAATTGTTTAGATTATATTTACGTGTCATATATTATTTTCAAAAATATTTTTCGTACTCTACTGGTGATATACACGATATTGAATCATAGATTTCGATTAATTATTATGTATAATCAGAGTAAAAATAGTAATTAGTTTATACATGATTTTTTCAAATTGTTATAACCGATTCTGATTTTTAAATTTTATTAATCCAATCCTCTTTTAAGTAGCATTCATTGAAATATTTAGATGTTCAGAATAATTATAAAAATATGTTACATTTGTTCCAATTTCTTTGTCTATCTGTTTGTCATGCTTCAGTTAAGTTAGAACAAATTGATTGATCTTGAATGTCCACATCATTTGAACTCCTAACTACCTCCAACTATTCTGAATATCCAAATATTATTAGAGAATGCCACATTGCCATCATAATTCGTCAATTTAATAAAACAGACATTAAAATTAGTATCATCACTAGGACTTGCAAAATTCTCGTTCAAATTATAAAAACAATCCTTTCATTTAATAATAGACTTTTTTAAAACCATTCTAAATTAAAATTCTTCGTTTTGACACTACGTAAAGCACTTGATAACAAAGAATATTACGGGTAATATATATGAATAAAAATGGGGAAGATGGGGAAATGTGTAACGGAATACTAATTACCTGCATTAGTTTAGTTGGTTTATGAAATAATTTAAATTGAATGTATACCACTGCAACAGCGTGTAATAACATCGGTTGTATAACCCCACTGTATAACTACGGAAGTGGGCTGTAGCACGCATGGGCAGTCAGTCGTTAAACAAGTCACAACTCACGACCATGCACCATGTAGCCTTGGCAATACGTAATTGTAAGGAAACTGAACTTTGCCAATTTTGCATATTGAAAAAGTATTCATGTCACGTAAAAAATGTACGACGCTATTCAATACTGATTGGTTTTCAGTCAATTTATTAAAAGGAACTACATTTTTTAATGTTTGCATTAAACGAGGCGTCGTTTATTTGTGTTGAATAAGTTTTCTCGAATATGTTTGACTAAAGCGAGTATAGGGTAAGAAACATTTAGTTGTATGTAGTAAGAATGTTGCAGGCTGGTAGCAGATATCGGTGTGAGAGGGAGAGTTACCGGTGTGGGCGAGGTCCGTCCGCCGCGGGGGATGTCAGGCAAGGCGCGGGGCGCGCGGGGTGGGGAGCGGGGCGCAGCCTCACGACTCGCCGTTGCCACTGTCGTCTCCGTCCCCATCTCCTCCGTCCACTTCCTCCTCAGAGTCTGTGTCGAGGTCGTCATAGTCGTCGTCGTAGAAGTCTGTCATGTCCAGCTGAAAGAATGTGATAGAACAATGTTAGTTATAAAACTATCACTGTCAATATGCTTCTATTTTAATATATGTATATGCGAGACAAGCTATTGAGACTTCTTGGTCCTTATTGTCTAAGTTTAGGATAATAGCGTGCGACAGACTACTGTTGAATATAGGGTTGGGTGCAATCAATCGATTTAACATTATACAGTATAAAATCATATTTAGAAGCCTATTACCTACAGTATAAAATCATATTTATTATCTTGAGGACAATGCCACACTTAGTCATCATAAATATATTACTTCAAAAACGTGTGCATTTTTCAAACACTTTTTATATTAGACCACGTATTTGATTAGACAATAAGTATACGTAAGTCAAACGTTTGATTAGGCAAATAAAATAATTACAAGTTTCTATTGAACATTTCTCACGTGTTGTATAGAAAGAAGTTATCGTGTTTAGTAATCAGAGCTACAGCTTCTCATTTACGCTTGCGAAGTTGCGTCAACAAGCATATAAACGAAGTCCAATGAATCAAGAGGTCATTTTAATTTATACAGTTTATATCGGAATACTGATAGTGTTATCCACACTCATAGAATAGTTTGCTCAGATATCATTTTATATACATTCATAAAAATGGATTCATAGACTATATACCATCCGCCCACTATTATAATTATATAAATGGTCCTTATGTAGACAACGGGCAACACCCTTGTTTCGAGGGGGAAAATCATCTAATGCCTTCTCCCGCCCGAGTAAGGTGAGAGGGAGTGTCAGACTCTTACTGACTAAAAACCACCCCGTTCTTACTCCTGCACTTCGAGCCTGAGCCTCGGTAACCCTTAGTTAGCCTTCCGCGGCTCCGTATCGGGCATCAGTCCTACTGGGCCCCATTTGTGTAACGGGCAACACCCTAGCGAAAAGCGAGTTTACTGTTAAGCTCTTTGGTTAAAAAGTTGTAGAGAAATACAGTACAAACCTGAGGCTCCTGCGTCGTCGATTTGACTTGAGTCTTAATGCAATAATCTTCTAATGTAAGTGGTACAACTATGCCCTCTTTCTCCGCCTCCGTGCGAGCCACCTGGGCCTGCTTTCTGTAAAAACAAAACAATTAACTAAGACATGTTTCTGCAATAACGCAATGGACGATAACAGTTATGGTACTCGTGACCACATTATCTATAATTATTTGTAACAAAGGCATTGAGTCTTAGTTTTTATGTAATACTTTAACCTAGTTACACTTAAGTATATCGTGGTGTTGGTTTCAATTCAATACAAATTTATTAAACACAACATGTCTAGTTGTATACATAATTGATATGAATCTTTTGCCACCACTGATTAAAATGAAACCAATTAAAACTGATTAATCAGCAATTACGAACGAATCGTCTGTTTGAAAACCACTCATTTCGGTGATTTATCTGATGGTTATAAAATCCTTAAACTAAGTGTATGTGCAAACTTTATATAGTTTTTTATTGTTGCTACAAATGTAAATTTCGTTTCCCTAGAACTAGTTTAAGGTTATCAATTGTGTTGTCAGTTTTATACACGTCATCTTCAGTACTCAAAATTTAAACCGACTTAGTTACAAATTCAGTGAAACGGGGACGCGACCGAATAAACTCATTGTGTTAAATTACTTTCACCGAACGACGGACGAAAACTGTATTGTCGTGTGACAACAAATGAGCTGGGATGAGTGAGACTAGAAAATGTCACCTAAGGGTATGAAAATAACCACCGTCAGAGTTTGCATACAATATGAAGGGACTGGACGTCAATTTTTAACCGACAGCAGTTGGGTCTTTTTCATTGTACTAAAATCATCTCTTCAATCTTTTGTACACAGGATAGTTTCATATTTTCAAAACTAAAACCAAGTAAGTATCTATTGTAGGTAGGACAGTTTTCTAGACTAGGTTAAGTGAGGTCTGATTTAGAAACCAAAATATTTAGGTTTTTTATGATAGATAATATGTAAACAATAAAATGTATAACATTCAAGGTTTTGTACCATCAGCATCCGAATAGAGATTGTCTTATTCGAGCACTGAGCAAACGGTGAGGCGCCCTCACCTGATAATATTCTCATATTCCTTATCTTTGCCTTTGGAGTCGCGCCAGCGGCGGTACATGACGCTGGCGTCGACGTTGGCTGGGCTGAAGGTGTTGGGCTCGTTGAGTAGTGAGATCACGGAGAGCAGCACGGTGCGCACCGACTGCGTAGGGTTCCAACGTTCGCACGGTAGCTCGCCCGATTGTGGGTCGTCAACCGGCGGGTGCAGGATCGATATGCAGAGGTCACCATTCTGGAAAATTTTAAAGGAATACTTAGTCATGTGTGTAGGACAGCTTTCTTTTATATCGAAGAAGATAGCTATTCTATTTGCCCTATGCCAGTAACTGAATGTTGAATACAGGTAGGTACTCAATTTCATTGCAACAATTAGTGTAATAATAAATTAAATTCTTTTTGCACTTTTACGAACGATAAACATATCGTAAGCGATGGAATGAATAGGTACACTGGTACATATTTACTTGACCCCCTCTTTAGAGCAGGTCAAGTAATCGAGTACAGATGTTAACTGGTTTATGTCAAAATTAGCTGCTTTCCCTAGCTCTCTCTTGTTAACTAGCTTTACTTCATCTTTTTTGTGGCGACAAAACAAAAACGAAACCATCGTAATACGATCACCCTCTATTCGAAGTGTACAGTGTACAGTAAACCACAGGCTATACAACAAAACCCACAAAAAAGAAAACTTGATAGCCAACTCGTGTTTCTTTAGAAGTCTGGTGGAATGAAACTGGTGTTAATAATGTCAAGTGCTTGTCACTTCAACCGCAGCTCTAGTTAATACCTAACGCATATCTATTTGTCCTAGAATATCCCGGATAGTTGGGATTTGACCGTGAATAGAGATGTCATTGCCAAATAATTAATAAACATTTGACACGTAGGGAGAGTGACGTAGAAGCGCACAGATATCAGACCGTTCGTCTCTGCTATCTGTCTATCAGCAAATCGAAGTTTGCACAATAAACTGCGAAGGCCAGAGTTATTAAATCTTGATACGATTTAATGCTTCACGGTTAGGAAGACAGATTTCGTTTTCGTTGCGTTATAGTGAGCGTAATACAAGGTGTTATATAAAATCTATTGTTGCCTCGCCTCCTCGCAGACTACCAGCAACCTTCGTAACAATACATGTTCTACACGCGCAACGCGAAACTGAGATGTCGAATTTACTGTTGCAGTGTTGCAAATGTCTTCACAGGTATTGCAATTATCTCGTCTTTATAATGAAACATAACCTGTATGTATCGTCTTACTTGTAGCATTCAAATTTCAAAATCTAGTAATTTTTACCCCAACACCTAAATAATTTAACTTGATTTTGCAAATAATCATAAAGCAAAAATGTCCCGACCCTATCGAATAAAGGTTATCATAAAATATATTTAGTTAGATGCAATTTGAATATACGCTGCAATAATTCATTAATGATCGATGTGCGCAAACAATTTTTTCCGAAAGTAGAATATTTCAAGCATGTTTAATTTAATTTCGGATTGAGAAATTATTTTTGATATTTGTTACGAATACGATCTAATATATTTATGTTATAACTTTTATGAGACATACTAAATTAATTATCATGTTTTTCGGCTTGCTCACGTAATTATTTGACGAGGAACTCGATTAGTTTCAAGCCATGCTAGAGGCTCATATTCATGAGCAGCATTCCGAGACCAGCGACACGCCGACTGTCGTGCTGCTACTGACGATTTAATACATTTCTGGCGAACCCCTGATAAACTATATATGCATCTATATAATATGTAATGTAGGTCTGTACTACCTAGTTATTATCCAAACAAATACCTACCACGTTTTAGAAGAGTCAAAATTTCAGAAAAGACCGAGTAATGGCAGTAGTTAGTCAGCTACAACTAACTTTGTACATACCTAACCAATGTAGGCACGTATTATACATGGAACTAAACAAGAGTTACACACGGTTATGGAATCAACTGCTTACCTGGAAGTTACTTAGTTACTGGTGCGTATCATTGCCTATATCGTTAATCAGACTTGTTTCCTGTTCATATGAATTCATATCAATTACATCACACGTCGAAGTAAAAGAAAAATGCTTTGCACTGCCCTGTTGCAATTTGCAATGCAATTTTTTGTTACTCCTTCACATTAGAGCTCGTACTTTTGTATTGAAAACCACTGTAGTTTGCATTATTATGTACCTACGTACCAATAGCTCTGCATTACCCGCGGTCAGAAATATTGATTCTGATCATAATGTAACTTTCATGCGACAAGACTTCAAGAATGTTTGTGTTTTTTATTGTACTATACATAAGAACAAAGCATAGTTTGGTTTTAATTGACATATAAAAACGATACGAATGCTAAGGCCAGTACTGGCATCAGTTTACCCCTTCACCCGACAATAACCGCTTTATTACTCATCAATTCGCAGCGCAGCCTTCGGCAAGGTCTTCCATACGCCATATGTATTACACATGATATCTAGCTACGCGTCTTTCTAAGGAGATAGCGGAAGGAGGTAAGCGAGACGGAACGGGCAAGAGGCTTACCTCCGCAATTTACCCTTGACGATCTCGGTAAAACAGCATATCGAGACCCACCCCATTTACATTGTAATCTGCTCAGCGAATCGTGAAGGTTGTGTTATCCGATTTATCGAATGAACTTTGATGTTGTATGCAACTGAGCGGTAAGATCATCCGACGCTCGAACATACATAATGACAGATAATATATTAAGTGGTGGTTGAAATCGTTCATTTACAACCAGTGGCCTACTACTCTAGTATTCGCATGACCTAGATACATTTTGTTTAGCGCGATAACTACGTTGTGCTTATTTAATTTAATATTACTAATCATTTAATTTTCAGACATTTATCGGAAACTATTTTGATGACTGCTACTTCTGAAAAGTATGAAAACTCATTTGCACAAGTCATAAAAGTTGAATACTAATGATGAGTTGCAACTATCAACTGTAATATCAAGAATGAATAAGTAGTTGTTCCATGACGATGAGTAAATAGTAGATTCAGCCTTGCCATTTGACCCCAACGATGTATCTGTATTTTCTGTATAGACAAGACAGGGACATTAAAATATCAGACGTCGAAGAAAGAAAGCTTCATTGGAAATCGATTCCAATTATCGTGCAAGCTATTCAGCTAGACACAGACACACTGAACATTATCTAGTTCTAACTACAATATTATAGGCAAACAGCTCTTTTTATATTTGTTATAAACATAAAAATTTTGTTATTTTCGACCACAATGGAAGTCTAGTGAAAGTGTTTCTAACGGTCCTCTATGACGCACTCTAAACGGAGTCTGCGCCTGCGATCAAGCTTTTGCGCACAAGGATTTGAATAATAACAGCGTAGTAGATTATTTATGTGAATCGGATAATATGAAATCAGTAGATTGAAATTCATATTACATATCAGTAAACAGTACAATACATGAAAATGTAGGTACTATGTTGGGACTGGGATTTGTTAGAATCTAATTATTTTACGGGGTTCCTTACATGTTTGGTTGAAATAGATTAAATGATTGAATATATGCAAGTGTAGCTCTTGTTTTTGTGTATGGAAGTCATGATGATAGAGCATAAAGGCGCGGACATTACAGTGATGGCGTGGTGCGTCGCCCTCGGCTAAAAATATGCCACCGGTTCACTGCGCGCTTCCTCACAAAGAAAATGCGTGTGTTCTGCTGACCTCCAAATCGGGAAACACTTGAAACATACACACAATGTTTATTTACATCACTCACAGATACATCTAGAAAAGAGTATACTAATCACCAAAGTTGTTATTCCGAACCATGTCAAGGTGCATGGCCGAGAATAAGTTATCAGTGCGGAAAATCAATCACGAGTTCGCATGCCGAAGGAATATCAAGAATTGATTTTTTCTTTTTCAGTTTAAATATCAACTGAAATCTCTGGTTTATATTAAATCTGTTAACAGAAGAGACTTCCTAATGAATAAAGTGTCACTGTAATATTGCCCTATAAACGAGACGGTGCAACCAGGTACTCCGATTAATTACATTGAATTATGTATATTCGTAAATCAGTGAGAGATGTTACCTACAAGATAAAAAAATATGATAAAAATAGGTATAGTTGCTTGAACACTGCGTCAATAACAAGACAACATCAGTGTTTACCATGTGTTAAAATTCATGGAACGGAAATGTATTCCACATTGACTTTCCGATAACTTAGTAGAATATTATATGAAGACTAAGCGGCTAGTCTGGCTTGTGAGCCGAGGACCTTGGTGACTCGGCCGCGGTGGGTTGAAGGCCCGGTGACGCACGTCACTGTCCACGGAAGCGCCCCCGCCTTATTTCAAACTCACCTCTACATTATCTTGCATTACAATTACATTTAAAGTTCTTCAATAGTGCAAACTGAATAGGAGAACCGTATGTAAAAACGAAATACCTACCTAATTATGAGTTTTGTTTTCAATACACCTAATAGTCCGAATACTTTTATTTTGATAATGCAGTTATTGTTAGAGACGTTTATTGTTTCAATGTTCAGCAAAGTATTGAGCGATTGATATACATTATCAGGCGCTCGAACGGCGCGTGTGCCGGTGCAGGTAACCACGTGGCCAGTATTAAAAGAGTGTGATTGAGATGTTGGCACTTGCTTCCACGGTTCGGACGATCACGTCTCGGGGGCGTTATTTAAAGAACCGCGTGTGAATGTAGCACAAGTTCAAAGCGGCCACCGCGACGCAGGTCGACGGGATCGGGAATAAGGTTAATTACCCCAAGGCCGGGGAGTGCCAACTACGGTCGGGATGAACCTCAAGGGAAAGACCTTTCTACTGGGAAATAAAAACAAATTAATTCTCCTTGACATTCTGCCAAATTGACTTGTTTAGAAAAACTTTTTGCTGCCATCGGTTTATCACGGTCAAAACACTGGTTGGTTCCTTCGTCATCAGTATTGTCATAAATGCAACGAATTAAAAAATCTAGGTTCTACATTTCGTCTAATAGGTTTCTAAGAAACGTCTACCCGAGGCAGAATATTTTTGGATAACAGGTCATTAATATCTAGTGTGTGTGTCACGCCGACACGCGACGAGCATTTCAGTCTAGATGAACATTTGATTGGAACCTGTAAAAGGAAATTACCAATAGGGTAGACGTAGCACAGTATACTTGTTTGTCGATAAAATTGATCGTGAACACGGGAAGTTGGTACACAT